CCGGAGTGGGGGCGCGGGGCCGTGAACTTCCGGGGGCGGGGGCGGCGCGGGGTGTCCCCAAAGTCCGAGGTGGCGAGAGGGACTCCGAATCCCGAGGGCGAAGGACGGCGAAAGGGGGCTGCGAAGTTCCGTACCCGAGAGCGAAGGGTGCGATACAGTGGCCCCCGAAGTTCCGCACTCGGAATCGGGGAGCTGCGCAGGGGTGCCTGAAGTTCCAGGCTCGGGGTCACTTCAGCGTGGTCTCTGAAGCTACCCACTTAGCATAGTGTGGTTGTCGCGAGGATCACCAAAGTTCCAGGGTCTGTGCGTTCCGAAGTTGGGGCACACAAGAGACACCTCGCTTTTGGGGTGAAGTGACACCGCTGTCCTGGGTCAATATCAGGTCCCGGGACTTGGGGTACGCAGGGTGAGTCCTCGCCTACACCCCAGGACTGAGGGGTCCCCGTGCCTCGGACAGGGCACTCAGGCTCGGACACCGCGGGGAGCCCCGAGCTGGCGAGAGGCGTTTGAGGCGCATGACTGGGAGGTGAGTAACTTTGCCCGAACGCTGCAAGTCGTGGCAGGAGCTGCCGGGCCGGAAGGGCCTGAATTCTGGGGACCCCTGGGTCCTCTGCCTTCGGCCAGGCACAGGACCCGCCCCCAGCCCCAGCCCGAGAGGCCTCCCCTCCCCCAGCCCAGGGGCTCGGGTTTCAGACCTGTGACCGGGACAGCAGCTGCCCAGGACCGGTGAGGGAGCACCCCCGTCCGACCACAGAGGCCGCTGGGTCAGACTCTCCTTCGCTCTTACCTCTCCCAGCCCTCTCCTGGGTCCCCTCAGGCTCCCTAGATGAGATTTGGCGGTGCAGGGGACGAGAAAGGGTCCGGAGGGCTCCTTCCAGGCGCCTAGTCCTGGCTTCCTTTAGCATGAAGGCTGGTGGAACCGAGAAAGGCTGGGGAGCCCAGCTCTTCTCCATCTCCAATCCACCCTATAGACCAATGTGGCTGTATCTTCTCCTTCTAACCATGTTGGGGGCTCTCTGAGGGTTTGAACCCTGACTCCTAGGGCTGCTTCTGCTCCAGGGTCAGAACTGGGGAAGGGGTCTCTTCTGGGTCCAGCAGGGTCTGGCCTTCCAATTGCAACCGAGGCATGCCCCACTTTTTGCCAGGATGCCCTACTTTGAGATACGCTGGGTGGATCTGGTGGGGGTACTGTCCCCTCAGCCTGGGATAGGAGGGGCTCAGGGGAGGAATGCAGTGACCAAGAGGAGAAGAGGTTCACACTAGGACACTAGGGATGCCGAGAGAAGACCTATTCCTGTTTTTCCTAGCCCACATGTTGAGGGGTTTTCTGAGATGAGGTGGTTGTTACTGGGTGTTGACTCTGTTCTGACCCTTGGTTTCCTCATGTGGATATTAAAGCTATATCCTTTTGGAAATAGATATCCAGACCTTACTTCTGGGGTACCTCTGGGGGGCACTTAAGTTGTCAACCTTTCAGTCTACCACCAAACCCTTTGAACCAGCAGCTCCTGCCCTCTTCTGGCCACCCCTTGGAGCCTGCCCAGCCCAGCCTGACCAATGTCCACAGCCAGGTGAGCACCTTCCCTCCCCAGCCCACCTTGGCTTTGCCCTGAGACCGTACTTCCAGGCTCTGAGCACTGTCTTTCTCCAGGGAGCAGCCCATTTTCAGCACAAGAGCACACGTATTCCAGATTGACCCAGCCACCAAGAGGAACTGGATCCCTGCGGGCAAGCACGCACTCACTGTCTCTTATTTCTACGATGCCACCCGCAATGTCTACCGAATCATCAGCATCGGGGGTGCCAAGGTGCGATGGAGCCTGTGGAGGGGGGACTTCAGGGGTCCCTGCTGTGCGAATTTTCCCCTCCTGAAGTGGCTTGGAACAAGGCCTCGGCAGTCTTCCTCCAAAGTAATGCTCAGCGCATTTCACATTCCTCATTACTGGTCCCTTGAACTTTGCCTCCCAGGCCATCATCAACAGCACTGTCACTCCCAACATGACCTTCACCAAAACCTCCCAGAAGTTTGGTCAGTGGGCAGACAGCCGTGCCAACACAGTCTACGGCCTTGGCTTTGCCTCTGAGCAGCATCTGACCCAGGTATGCCTTCAGGGAGGGGTGGGAAAGGCCAGGGATGGGGCCTAGGCTTCCCTAGGTAGACAGGACACCTTGGGCAGCTCCCAGTGGGCACATGGAATTGGACCAACCTAGGCATTTCCAGGTCTCTGGGTGGCACAGATGGTTTGCACTTGGCCAACCCACATGGTGCTGTGGTCAAGCGTTAGTTTGCTGACTGAAAGGTAAATGGTTTGACCTCACCCACAGCTCTACAGGAGAAAGACCTGCTCCCATAAAGATTGTGTACAGCTTAGGAAGCACAAATGGGACACTTGTATTCTGTCCTTCAGGGATGCTATGAACCAGAATCCACTGATGGTGCACACCACCACTAACTGTAGAGTTGGCAGTTGGAACCCACTCAGTGGTGCCTCAGAGAAGAAAGGCCTGGTGATCTCTCTGTGGATTACAGCCTCTCTCCTGCGTGGGGTCATTCACAGAGGAGTTGGAATCAACTCTTCAGCAATAGGTTTCTGGTTTTGTTTTTAATTCCTTCCAGCTTCCCTGGATGGAGCCCCAGCTCTGTTGCTCACTTGCTCCAATTCTTGGCATGACCTTGACCCTATCTGATCCCATCTATCAAATGGGTGCGCGGGTTGGGTTGGGTGCTGTTTCCTCATGGCCGCACTCTGCTCCCTGCTGTTTCTGCATTTCAGGTTTGCCTTTGCCTCTTGTTTCCCTAGATGATTTGTGCTTTTCTTGACCTGCCTGAAGTCAGGAAGATGTTCCCTTCTGTTTTCTTCAACGAGTTTCATTGTTTACTTTTTCAATGGAAAACTCGTTTCCATCGAGTCTGCCCTGATTCATGACAGCCCTGTACGTGTCAGGATAGAACTGTGTTCCACTAGGGTTTCAATGCTTGAGTTATGAGAAGTGGACCTCCCAGCTATTCTTCTGAGGGGCCGATGGGTGAACTTGAACCATCAACACTTTAGTTAGCAGTGAAGCACTTAACCTTTTGAATCACCCAGGTACACTGTTCAAGTTCAAGTCTTGGGTTAATTTCTGTGGCTGGTGTGCTCCAGCTTCTTCCCCACCCCCTCCCCACCTGAGTATTCAGGTTGCTCTTGTTGAAAAGACCATTTCCCCACACTGGTACCTTTGCATAAACCAGCTGGCTAATATTTTCTTTATTTAACCTATTGAGATGTATTATAAAATTTACTAACATTATTAACCTAAGGAAATGCATTTTTTAAAATATATTCTCCCTAGGCTGGTCAGATGGTAGTAGGTTATCAGAAACTATAAACATTAGTGCAACTAAAGTTGGTATACCACCCCCACACTGCTGAATCTGACTGGGTTAAAAAAAAAATTCCACCTATATTAGTATCCTCTGGCTGCTGTAACAAAGTATTACAAATTAGGTGGCTTATTATCTCAAAGTTCTTAAGAATGGAAACAAATTCAAGGTGTCAGCCGAGTCACATGCTCTCTGAGAACTCTAGCAGGCGGGTCCTTCCTGGTCTCTTAACTTCTGGTGGTCTCCACGAAACCTTGATGTCCTTTTGCTTGTAGACCCAGCCCTCCACGCTCTGCTCCCATCATCACCTGGCCTTCTTCCCTCTGTGTCTCTTCTTTTGCATATTCAACTAGAGTCCATCCAACTTGACTATAATCTTGTCATGATAACATCTTGAAGGACCCTAATTTCAAGTAAGGTTGTATTCTCAGGTACTGAAAGTTAGCACTTCAACCTCCTCTTTTTTTGATGGGACACAGTTCAATCCGTAACATTACCCTAACTAGTATTGTCAGAAATGGGTGGCAAATAGAAAAATGACTATGAGGAAGACGATACAGGGTGATTAATCTGGAAGCCTCAGGCCTATCTCTGTTAGAACTAGTTTCCCTCACATTCTGACTCACGGTGACCCCGTGTGTATCTCAGAGTAGATGGTGCTCCATGGGGTTTGCAGTGGCTAATTTTTCAGAATTAGATCATCACATCTTTCTTCTAAGACGCCTCTAGGTGTCCTGAAGCTTCCAAGTCTTTGGTTAGCAGTCAAGCACATCCACCTTTTATACTGTTCTGAGCTCCTTCTTTGTAATTGTTGTTTGTTGCCATCAATTTGGCAACAAACGCATGGTAACCTCATATGTGTCAGAAACTAACTCTATGTGTTCCACAGGTTGTCAGGGCCTGTCTTTTGAGCTATAGATTGCCAGGCCTTTCTTCCGAGGTGCCTTTGGGTGCACTCAAACGTCTGACCTTTTAGTTAGTGACCACTTTCATCAATCATTTGCACTTCTTTGTTCGAAGGATTTAAACATGTGTCCCAGTTGTTAAAGATAAATTAGCACCAAACAGAAAGGCTCTCCTTATTTAAATAAACCCAATCGAGAGAGAGAGAGAGAGAGAGAGAGAGAGAGAGAGAGAGAGAGAAAGCAAACTCCTTTCTCAACATGGCTGAATGTATTTGATGTCACTTATGCAAACACATATGATGACACTTATTGACAGAGTGACTGCAACAAATGTGTCAGGAGATGGTGAGGATGGCACATAATGGGACAGGGCTCAAATCTGTCGTTCTTAGGGTCACTACGAGTTGTATTCAATGCAGTGGTACCTGACAACAACATGTAAACACCCTGCCATGATTCCTACCCTATTCTTGGGGGCATCCTTTTCCAAGTTATCTCACTTCTTCCGGTTCAAAGATGTGGGGGTGGAGGGGGCTCAATCATAGGGTCACAGAATTTAATGGGTGGAGGGAGAGGTAGGTAAAGGAAAGGGGAAAGATCTGGTGTGAAAAACAATGTAGACAAACTTTATGAACTTTGTATGTAAACCAGTATTAAAAAAAAAAAAAGATGTGGGACAGAGGGTTAGACACGGTTGCTGAGACCCATTTGAATGTTACGAAGCCGAACTGACTGGGTAGTCTGTAAGGGAGAAGACTGAGGGCTTGTTGACTAACTCTCTGTTGCATTCCCCAGTTTGCTGAGAAATTCCAGGAAGTGAAGGAAGCAGCGAGGCTTGCCCGGGAGAAGTCTCAGGATGGTGGGGAGCTCACCAGCCCAGCCCTGGGGCTTGCCTCCCACCAGGTCAGTACCCTCCACCATGCCCAGATGCTTCTGAGCTACCCAAGGTGTAGTGGGAGATCTGATGCTTTGCTAGCTTATGGAAAGCTGGACACGTGGCAGGGGTTGACGGAGTGGGTGTCACTGGACTATGTTGTTGGAGGTTGAGCCTGGCCAACGAGGGCACCAAATAGGTGTGTGTGTGACAGAAACTAATTTAATAGTGACTTTGCCCTAGTTGTTTGAGTTGTTAAATAGACTATCAAGCTGGAAGTTGGAATGGCCAAAGAAAGTGGAGAATAGTGAATTATGCTTTGAGACTTCTTTAAATTCATTTATTGCCTATCTACTGTGTACCAAAGGATGGTCTGGTGGCTTAGGGAGTAGGTCTGCTAAGCACCAGAAATTCCTCCGGAGAAAGATGGCCAACCCAACCTCTTCTTATGTGAGTTAAAACCTCCTGAAATCTCTCGAGTGTCAGGTTTCTCATTCAACAGCAATGAGTTTGGACTTGACCTTGACAGTGTGCCAGGCCTAAGTCAAGCCGCAGGATGAAAATGTGGGCTGATCCTCAGGGAGCTTGTGGTCAGGGAAGGAGGTGGGTTGGACTCAGGCTAGGAGGCGTTCCAGGGGGTCTTGAATGGGATGTGGTCTTTGGCTGCAGGGAAGGGCCTCTTTAGGAAGGAACAGCATGGTGGTTTAAGATTGCTCTCCTTGGGGAGTTCTGGTGGCCTAGTGGCAAGAAGCTGCACTGCAATCCCAGAGGAGCACGGTTCGAATCCACCAGATGCTCTGCCGGGAAAGGAGAGACAATCTCCTCCTGTACCAGTCAGATCTGATTTGACGGTACACGCACACACACAAATAATAAAATAAAAAAATTAAAAAAAAAGATTGCTCTCCTTTATGACCATTTCAGTGGGCTTAGATTAGACAATCTCAGAGTTTTCCCTGGAGGGCTGCTAAAACCAGGCTGGGGAGGAGAGACAGGACCCAGATCTCAGGTCCAGGGACATGAAAGCGACCTTAAGTCAGGGGAAGCCCAGCTGGGATCCACAAGTTACTGCACCTGTGACTTAAGTCAGTCCCTACCTAACCTGGCTTTGGTCAGCTTAAAGCCACCCCTAAATATAACCTCATTTTTTCTCTCTCTCTCTCTCTCAAAGGTGCCTCCAAGCCCCCTTGTCAGCGCCAACGGCCCCCCTAGCGACGAGAAACTCTTCCGCAGCCAAAGTGCAGATGCCCCAGGTCCTGCGGAACGCGAGAGACTTAAGAAGATGCTGTCTGAGGGGTGAGGGGCGTGACCACGTCTTGGGCAGGGGGCGGGGCCAGACGACAGCAGCCATACAGCAGGCGGGGTCACGAAGTGGGCGTGGTCAACAGAGACCTTCCGCGTGGGGCGGAGCTTGCGAAGGGCGGGGCGTGGGCGGTCGAAGGGGAGGGACTAGGGGGGGCAGGTGCGGGTTGTGGCCTCGCTGAGGGGTAGAAGGTAGCTAAAGGGGGAGGCGAGATTCTGAACCTCACGTCTAAGAAGAAATAGGTTAACTGCCTCTTTCAAGGAACTCGCTTCCTGTCTGAAAAATCTCCCACTCTGCCCCCACTTTCTGACGACCACTCCCCTATCTCAGTCACTGCAGGAGGCTGACCTCACCTTGTCCCGTCGTGCCTACCTGAACTGATACCTTGGCACGTCCTACTCCTTTCTAACCTTGTCCTCATGGGATATTCCTGCCTCCAACTAAACCCTCAGGGATTTCTTGGCCAGTGCCCCCATCCCTAACCTCATTCCACCCCTGAGCCCCTTGGGGAAGCTATTCTTGGCTGACAGCAGACCAGTGTCTCCCCCACTCCTAGTCCCACCTTCAGCTCTCCTGCCTTGGCCTCCAAAGACCTGGTCCTTCATCCCCTCCCCCCAGCTCTGTGGGTGAGGTGCAGTGGGAGGCCGAGTTCTTCGCGCTGCAGGACAGTAACAACAAGCTGGCCAGCGCCCTGCGGGAGGCCAATGCAGCAGCCTCACAATGGAGGCAGCAGCTGGAGGCCCAGCGCGTGGAGGCTGAGCGGCTCAGGCAGCGGGTGAGGGTCCCCAACCCTTCAGGGTTAACTGTGGTAGATCCTTTGCCTCCACACACCCTCTGTCCTGGGTTCCTGCAGGTCTCCTCCTGGAGACTTTATTTGTTGCCCTGTTAAGTGGGTCTGAGACTACACCAGCCGGGTGGATGGTCAGGCCTCACAGTATGAACATCCAGAGACGGGGAATGGAGACTCCAACCAGAGGGATAGTAGGAGGGCGATGCCCTAGAGGTCGGGGGAGGGCGAGAGATGGGCTAGGGCTGCCTGAAGCTCAGGGCCATCTGCGCAGGTGGCCGAGCTGGAAGCACAGGCGGCAGCAGAAGCCCCTGCAGTTGCAGTTGTGGAGGAGCCTGTACAGTCGCTGGAGCAGTTGGAGGCATTGGTGCAAACCAAGGACCAGGTGAGTGTCCCCGGGCTTTGGCTTTCCTGAGTGAGCTCCCTTTAGGGAGCCAGCACCTTGGAGCCAACCTGGTGACCCCTCTCTCTAGGAAATCCAGACACTGAAGAGCCAGACTGGGGGTCCCCGGGAGACCCCAGATTCTGCTGAGCGAGAGGAGACACAGCAGAAGGTGCAGGTGTGTGGAGTGTGGCTGATGGAGGCAGATGGGCGGAGACCCTATCAAATCCTTATAGTTCCGGGCCGAGAGCGGGGAGCCTGCATTTAAACCCAGGTCTTGCTGGTTTAAGGAGCATAGGTGATACAAGTAGTTTGTGCTTGACAGCTAACCTAAGTTTCAGTTTTGAACCTACCCAGTTTGACGCAGAAGAAAAGGCCAATCTGCTTCCATTTGTCATTGAAAACGAAAGCCCTGTCCCCTCAGCCTGTTCTGTGTGTATGAGGGAGTGGTCCCTTAGATAGACTTAACTCTTCCTGTCTGGAGAACAGGCTGGCAGTCACAGAACATGCCTCAGCTCCTAGATGCTTAAGGTTGGCAGGCCTAGAAGATACTAGAAAGTGGCTGTGTCTCCCAGGTCCAGCAGGTGGTTCGTTCTCAGGGCGCTGTCACTGTAATCTCACAGTGCTTTTAAGAGTGGCACTGTTCTTAGACGTATAAAATAGCTATTCAGTGCACACAAAGGGTTGCCATGAGCCAAGGGTCTGGAGTTTGCCCCAAGTAAGGAGGCATGCCTGGGGCCTAGCATGGAGAAATAGTAAAGACTCTGGTGTCCATCAGGACAGAAAGAAGTTGAGGAAACAACTGTTGTCTCCTGGGAGGTATGTACGAAGGCCCTAGGGTGGAGCATTTCAGAAACCAGAGGGCTATGGACGTGAAATTAGGAGTAAGGGGTGGGGAGTAGAAACCCCACCATCTGACCTCCCTCCACAGGACCTGGAGACTCGGAATGCGGAGCTGGAGCACCAGCTGCGGGTGTCGGAGCACAGCCTGGAGGAGGCCCGGGCTGAGCGGGAGCGGGCACGGGCTGAGGTGGTGCGGGCCACACAGCTGTTGGATGTCAAACTGTTTGAGCTGAGCGAGCTGCGTGAGGGCCTGGCCCGCCTGGCCGAGGGAGCACCCTGAGCCGGCTGCCAGCAAAGCTGGTTCTGTATGGGACAATTCCTGGGATGTGAACCGGGCCACAGGCAACAGGGATGGGGCCTAGTTGCCTCGGCAGAAATTGGGGGAGGGGGGCAGCTCAGTCCTGGCTGCTCTCAGTTTGGCGATACTTTTGAGCTTTTCATTCTGTAGTTTCTAGAATCTTCAAGTGCGTGCTGGTATCCAAATTACATTTCCAAGCGTGGCTGCAAGTGTGCATTGTGTGTGGGATTGTCGCCGCCCCTTTCATCTGTGCAGGGTATACACTGGGACCCTGTGTTGTGTGATCAGCTAGACTCAGGGCTGAGTGTCCAGCTACTGCCTCCCTCCCAGCACTGCAGCCCTGTTCCCTCAGCCTATGGTTCAGACAGACTTACTTCTTCCAGTCTGGAGAACAGGCTGGCATTCACAGAACATGCCACGACTCATGGCAGGCCTAGAAGATGCTAGAAAGCGGCTGTGTCTCCCAGGCCCAGGAGCAGGTTCTCAGGGCGATGGCACTGTAATCTCACAGTGCTGTTAAGAAGGTGGCACTGTTCTTAGGCTCATCTTCTGGATAAGGACATGAGGTCAAAGAGGGGACAGCACTGGCCTGAGGTCTAGCAGTGGAATGGTTAGCACTATGGTTGGCTGGCTTTTTTGTCTTTAAGGCTGGACCTGCTGGGAATGGTGGGCAGGGAGGGGATGATGGAGAGAACATTCTGGGGACTTGAGATGCACAGGTGACCTAATCCTCCTCCCTGTCCCCAAGCCTGAGAGTCAGGTCAGGAATGACAAAAGGCACATTTATTGAGCACCTCTTGCTGTGACAGTCACTTTAGAGGCTCACAGACCCCTACCTTGTAAGGTGAGATGAACCATACCTCTAAGAGAGAAACTGAGGCCAAATTGGAATTTGAGCCAAGGTCACTCATGTGGAGAGAGAGAGAGAGTCCAGTTTGGCCTCAGAGCTGTGGGTTGTCATGAGGCCACAACGAAGAAGCCATGAGCTTCCTCCTAGGTGATCCATGAGGGTACAGCAGGCCTAGCAGCACAGTTGACGCCAGGAGAGACACTTATGGGTGTCCAGGTAGGTCTCAGTCTCTTGGTTCAATGAAGGATCCCACGTGGGCTCCAAGCAGGTGGGGGCCAGGTAAACTCAGGCCGGGGCTTGGCTGGGTGGAGTCGTGTGGGGCCCTGATTGGGCCCTGGGTGGGCGCTTCTTGTGCCCCTTGCTGGTTTTCTGCCGCTGTAGCGTCTGTTGCACCTTCTCCTTGAAGCGCCGATTCTTCTGCTTGATCTTGGCCAGCTCGGCCTTGCGCTTGGCCTCCAGGTCAGGGTCCTGTACGGGGTGGTGGGGGAGAGTGGCAATGAGTGGCAGTGAGTGGGGTACCTGCCTGGGAACCCTGACCCTCGCCTGCCAGGCAGCCTCACCTTCCCCTCCAGGATCAGCTGTTTTCGCTTGTTGATTTCCTTCTTCTCATCAAAGTTGGTGGCTTCCAGTTTCTGGGGGAGAGAGGCCAGTAGTTAGAGAGGTACACTTTGAGGGGCCAGTTCCTCACCCACCTGAATGAACTCCAACTCACAATCTCACATTCCCGTCGCACCACGTTGACCTGCGTGAGGATCTGCAGCACCTCTGCCTCTTCCACTGAGAACTCGTCCAGCTTCTTCTCTGGGGGACATGACAGAGACAGGGTCATGGGGGAGTGAGCTCCCTGTGTGCTGGGGCATGCAAAACATGCAAGATCATGGGAACCATCAGCTAAGGGCCAGGAGGGAGAGATCAGGTGGGAGGAGCCCAGGGAGAGAGGGACACCCAGTGTGATGAGTACCTCCCAGCCCCCTGCCCCCCCTCAGCCCCACTCACTGATCTGCTCCTCGATGGCATGGACCAGGTGGATGTCGTACTGCGTCACCAGTGTGATGGCCATGCCCTGCCGCCCTGTGGAGGGAAGGATTATAGTCAGTCACCCACTGGGTACCTGGACTGAGACTTGGGGAGCCGGAGGCAGAGGCCTGGTGCAGGACCTCAGAGAGTGGGGGAGGCAGTGGAACAAGCCTGGTTGGGTCTGTCCCAGGGTGGCAGCTCTCCTGCCTGCTAGCCTACTGCAGCAGGGCTGCCCGTGTGTTGATTTCCCTTTTCGACGTGGATGCCAGGGAAGTGTATGCTCATCCTGGAGGCCTTGGATCAGGATGCTGTGTTAGCAGGAAGCCTAGAGGCTCAGCACAGATCACTGGGCTCGCTCGTCATGTCTCATTTCTAGGGTGGTGGCGAGCTCTACAGCAGCAATGACAGCTGAAGAGCTGTTTTTATGGGGCTCAACTGCGTAACTCTCAGAACAGCCTCAAGGAGGCTCTGCTATTCTCTGTCCCTTCAATGGACCCAGAGAAGGTGTACAACCTCCTGGGGCCATTGGTTCAGGAAAGTGCTCGACCAGAAAATGCACCTCTCCCTGCTTCTGGTGTGAGAGTCCCCTGGAACATTAATTCCCTTTCCAAACGGGTAGAAGAATAGGCAGGAGTGTCTCCTGGGCCAGAGAGGGAAGGGGGTGTCACAGAGTGTAGGGCTTGGGGGAGCCTGGATGCCAAGTCATGTGTGGAAATATCCTATCTGCTGGGGCTCAGGAACCCACTCATGACAACGATGGGATAAGGGTGAACTGACAGGAAAAAGCAAGGCCTAGGGCTCACCTGCACGGGCTGTGCGGCCGACACGATGGATGTAGATCTTGGGGAGCCCGGGAGTGTTGTGGTTGATGACCACCTGCACAGTGGGAATGTCCAAACCCCTAAAAGGAGAGACCAGAGAGCTGAACACCCAGATAGGGGAGGTGGAGGCCAGGACTGGCTCGGTACTAACTTGGGGTGTGAGCACCTTGGAAAGAGGAAGGAATATCCAGGCCCCAGATCACTCACCGAGATGCCACATCTGTTGCAATCAGGATCCGATAGATGCTGGACTTGAACTTGGCCAGAGCAGCAAAGCGTTCTTTCTGTGTCAGGGTGGAGAAAGGGGAATCAGGGAGCCTCACTGTCATGTATGAAGACATTTGTGTGAGGACAAGGCAAGGGTGGGACAGATGTTCCTGCCTGCACGGGGTTGTTTCTAAGGTCAGGTCAGGACAAACACGACAAGAAGGTTCAGTAGATGACAGGAGACATAAACTGGGAGAGAGAAGGGAGAAAGACCAGCCGCGTGGACAGTCCCAGCTGGACACGACATCACACCTGCTTCATCATCGAGTGCAGCGCCACGGTGGGGAAGTTGAACTTGCGTAGCATCATGCACAGGATCTGGCAGGTCCTGGGGCAGAGGAAGGGTCCCGTCAGGCCCTCCCACCCCATCCACACAGCCTGTCACAGCATCTCTGTTAACCCTGCTCCCAGCTCCCATCCTGGGAATGCACTCTGACAAGGATACAAGTTCTGTCTGTTGGGTTGTGGGACTGGGAGATTGATAATGACTGCTGTCACCAGGGAGGGAGGGCAGAGAGAACTGATAATCTTCCTGTGGCCTACCATAATCATTACTACCTATAGACTGCTAGATCTGGCTATGCCTGACAGCCACCCTACATCCATATTTCTCAGTTCAAGGACACTCATACATTCACCCTGGGAGCAGCCCACTAGGAGCTCCAAGACCTCCCCAGTATGATGTGGCTATCTAACTTCTGTCTTCCTCTCTGATTCATATGGGAAAAGCTTATAGATTACTAACAATTCTCCCACCGCTCCAACTACCCAAGCAAAGTTTATGGGGACTTCCTGGGGCAGTCTGACACAATGTTGTAGAGACAACGTGGCAACATGTCAACCCTGGATCCATAGGGTCTCATCCAACCATCATGGCTCACAAGATAGGCCTGGGAGTCCCAGCAAGGCTTAGTGACACCGACAGGCCACAGCAAGAAGTGGCTGCTGTGAGTTCTTGCTCAAGACTCTGTAGTTGGTCGAGCCCTGTGGTCCAGAGAAGGGCAGCAGAATCCAGAGCAACCAACCCGAAAGCCAAGCAGCTGCTGCCGGGTCAACCACGATTCATGGCAGCCACCCATGAGTCAGAGTAGCACTGTGCACCACAGCATTTTCAGTAGGATCTTTCAGAAGTCAATAAGCAGACCTTTCTTCCAAGGAGGAGGACTGGGTGGACTCAAACCACCAACCTCTTAGTTAGCCAAACCCGGCCACAACAAGTAATGCCCAGGGACTCCACAGGTTCAGCAGCCTCAGTGAATTGGCCCCCAGCAGCCTGAAGCTGCTGAGCTGGGCAGTGGCTCAGGCGTGGTACACTCACTTGCACGTGTTGGTGAAGATGATGATGGACCAGTCCTCATGCTCGTCCTGGAAGCCCTGGATCAGGTGCACCAGGTAGGCATCCTTCACCTTCTCGGGCACCAGAAGGTAGCGCTGCTCCAACTGTTCGACTGTGCGGACCCTGGGGATAGCGAGCGGCCAAGCCTTCAGTCTCCTGCCTTCTAAGTGGGGACTGAGCCTCTCCCTCACCCCACTGTCTGGGACTCACGGTGCCTGCGCCTCCCAGAAGAAGGGCTGGTTGGTGGCCAGGCCCTGGAGCTCACGGAGTGTGTCGGTCAGCGTGGCACTGAACAGCAGCGTCTGCCTGCGAGCGGGCACGGCCCCCAGGATGACCTCCAGGTCTGCGGTGAAGTCTGTGCAGCCCTGTTCCAGCAGGCGGTCTGCCTCATCCAGCACCTGCGCAGAGGCTGGTGAGGCCCCACCCTCGTCCACCCACCTACTCAGTCTCAGCCTTCCCACCCCCACCTCCTGGGCAGGGTGCTGCTGCTCCAGTCCCTGCTGGACCTACAGCTGCCCTGTGTCCTCAGTTTACAAGGGTCTTGTCTGGCCACCAGTTCAGTGTGGTGGGGCCGACTCACCAGGAAACGGATCTTCTTGATACTAAAGGTGTTGGAGCTTCGGAGGTGATCAGCCAGGCGCCCCGGCGTGGCGATGACCACGTGTGGCTTCCGAGAGAGTTCAAGTGCCTGTGCTACCATGTCTGTGGACAGAGGGAGTGAGGCAGTTTGGTGGGAATTTGGGGTGGGGGAGGGACTGAGGGGTCCTGTGCCAGAGCCTCCCTGGCTCCTCGTACCCATGCCTCCGACGATGATGCAGTCTTTCAAACCCAGGGGCTTTCCCAGGACCCGGAACTGCTCCGCGATCTGGTACGCCAGCTCCCTGTAGGTGTAAAGGACCAGACAGGTCAACAGCGGGCCTGTTCTTATCTCTTGTCACCATCTCCACTCAGAACTTACAACTTAGTCTCTGGCCTCCCCATGTTCTGACACCCAATGTGTGAGGCCCCCAAATATTCTACGGCCTCTTCCTACAGCTTCACCCAAACCTGCACTATTTCCACGTCTCCTTTTCCCAGTGACCCACGCCAGAGATCTGAGCAGGGCCAGTCAATCCCTTGGCCCCCACCTTTGCCCTCATAGTCCTAACATGCCAGGAGTCCTCTTTGGGCTCCCCTCCCAGTCTCCACTCTTCCCTCTCCTGTTCAGAGGCCCTCAGAAACAATTCTCAGCCCTCAGCCTGGCACCCGAGGTCCATCTTGGGCTTTAATATGTCTGGCACGATTACCTTCCCTGCCTCTCACACCACTGCACATAGGCACGGGCAGCTCCTTGTTCCGGCGTGCTGTTCCCCGTATTTGTCCCTTTCACAGACACTTTAACTTCACCTGTTAAAGCATCTTTAAATGAAACCTTTCTCATCTTACCTCCTCTGTCAAAACTAGACTCTAGATGGGCTGTTGCAGGACGGGCGGTGGCATTACAGGGCTCACGGTGTCTTACTGCACTGACCACTGTACTTCTCTGCCAAGGCCTGGAGTTTTCTGAGGCCAGTACGCCTGTCTCCTCCCTGGGCTACAAAACTGTGGAAGGCCCTGGCTGCCGGGCACTCCCCACACACCGTGCCACTTTTTTCTGCAGCTTTCCTAAGAGGTGGGTACAGTTTCTGTCCCCATTTCTCACGAAGGAAAACGTTGCTCAAGAGAATTCAGCTGGTCAACTCATACTTAGGGCACGCACCTGGTAGGTGTCAAGACGAGGCAGAAGATGCCATACGGGTCCTCAGAGAGCTTCTGCAAGATGGGCAAGACGAACGCTGCTGTCTTGCCACTGCCGGTCTTGGCACAGCCCAGGCAGTCTCGACCTGGCAGAGAACAGACCACTATTAACACCTCCCGAGGGAGAGGAGTCTATTGGGCACAGTTTACAACAGCTCACTCACATGGAATGGCAGTCCTTGGGCTGGTGCAAAAGATGAATAGACTTGGCTGCTGACCAAAAATGTGAGAGGTCTGAGTCTACCCAGAGGTGCCTCAGAAGAAAGGCCTGGAACCTTCTTTCCCAAACCAATCACTGGAAATCCTCCCGAGCACAGATCTGCTCTAATACACAGGGGTCACCAATGAGTCGGGAATCAACTCCACAGCAAATGCGCTTCTACGCGAACATTTAATGAATAGCCTTTGCTCGATGTCTTCACATTTAAACTATGTTGACGATAGCTTTACAAAGGAGACGCTGTTATTATTCTCACTTAACAAGAGGAAACTGAATCTTGGAGACTTGTCCAGGACACATAGTGAGCAATAAGGGTGGACTAGGACCTATGTCCAACCGACTAGAGATACCACAGCTAACTACCACCGCAGTCAGACTCCCTTCGAGTACTCCTGGGATAATCTCCTCTAACCTGTCTTGTTGATCCTTTCACTTTTTTCCCCTTTAATTGTCCAATTTGTTCATGGACATATGACCTTCAACATGACCGATCATATTTTGTCACACGCTAGGCTTCCTGATGGCAGGGCCAGCCAGGGTTTGTTTAGTCTCCAGGTGTCTCCAAATCAAACACAGGTCCTGCACCAGCACCTCTCATTATGATTTAGCTTCATACTGAATTAAAAAAAAAAAAAATCAACCTGGAGGCATTGGAAACTGCCATTTCCTTCTTAACTCTTTAATGACAAAACTGGGTTGGTCCAGAAAAGTGGGAAAAGAGCAGTCATAGGACCACTGAATCCTGGCTTTATCACTAATTTACACAGCCTCACACTTGTTTGTGAGATGAATAGTTGTACCAGCTCTGCTGATTTTCCATGTTGTTGTTGTTATGTGCTGTCGAGTCGTTTGCGACTCATAGCGACCCTATGTACAACAGCCCTAAACCCTGCTCTATCCTTTGCCAATCGCACTGCCTCTGAAACACCCATCCCGATTACCCCAGTCATTGAATCAATCCATCTCATAGAGGGTATTCCCCTCTTGCGCCG